GCCGGGCAGGCAGAAAATGAGAATGTGGCTCCGTCACCAGCAAAAAACTCACTTTGCCCAAGTCTCCAGCAACGAGGGGCCGCAGTGAATAAACTCCACCTGCATTGTTGTGTGGCCTTTTCAGGGAGATGGCTTGGGCGCGTTACATTATTGTGTGGAGATCTTCATGCCAGTGTTCATGTCTCTCGCTTGAGTTCTTGTGTCTTTTTCATGGCTTCTTATGAATGCTGTGTACTGGGCCTGTCATTTCAAATGCTGGTCTTTTTCAAGACAAACATCAGCATTTGATTTCTAATACATGTAAATTTTCCTCTGTGAGGGGAAATATTTCACTGAAAATATGGTTCACTACTTTTGGAATATTAAGGCACTTGGTCTGTGTATAATTTATAAATGCACACTTGACATAAACTGTCAATTTTGTGAGTTTTAACTGAATACTTGCTGCCTCAAGTATGACCTGTAAGACTTGAAATTGTAACGTGCAAATATAGTTACAAAATAAATAGAAGCAAAAGAAGGAATTTAAGAAGACTTTTGTCCCCATATTGATAAGTTCCATCTATGGTTCCGTGTAAACCTCCTGATAAAATTTAACTTAAAGTTTGGTTTTACTTTTAATTAAAGACTCTATCTAAATTAAAAGAAAAAATCAACCCTATAAATGTGAAAATGTCCAAGTAATCTTTGGGTTATGTGTTCAGGAAATTCAACAACTGAATAGAGGGATCCCAATACGACGCTTTTAGCGTCGATCTGCGCACTTCCGCGTTTGAAAACGAGACTGTATGTGTCAGCTTCAATTCTTAATACGATCAGACGATTGAAAGTAAGGAGTCAATACACAAAATACATAGAGGTATGTTAACTTCAGACTTTTCAGGCTGCAAATTTTTGTGGAAAAGTCTTTCAGGATGACTCGACACGTGAAATCAAAAGAAAAACAACAACAATTGACTGCGAACTAACGTACCTGGGATGGTCGTGTATCTTGTGCAGTGGGCATGGTTTAAACTGAAGTGGCGTCACACTTACGAACCGGATACTGCATGTACTGTGTGGACTCTGCGGGCGCGCACCACGAAGTTCAACACAGAGAGCTTCGGTTTCGATGCAAATATGCGCAGACGGCGCTAATATGAAATCCCTCTATTCTAGCATTTTGGAAGAGTTTCACCTTTCTGGTAAGGTCAGAGCAAATGGGGCAGGATACCGGCAGACAGGATGGCAATTCGCATGAATGACCACACCAAGGGTCCTGACACTGAACACCCATGGACATAGGGGCTCCATCTGACTCTGGCATATTGTTACCCAATCCCCACAAGGAAGGTATGTGCATTCCTGTTGTGATGCCATGTCTGACTGAGTAAGGGGGTATCAGGCAATATAGCTGGCTTTTTGTATCTTCCCAAGCACATTTGGTAACCACTCCGGCCAACAAGAAAACAAATTTCAGACAAGGAAGAAAGACTTGACAGATGGCATAAATTGACCTGTGAGAATGTGAATAAATAAGTGATCCCTTTCTAAAATTTGTATTTCCTAAACAAGAAAAAAAACACTGGTTGACACTTCTGGCAATCAAACAAATTGAAGAGATGAATAACAAAAACTATGAGGGAGAAATATGAAAACTAGCATAGGAAGACTAAGACTCCATGTACAGGTAGATGTATGAAGTATTTGTGCAAATGCTTCAAAAACAAAAAAAAACCAAATACAACATAATACAGTGTATTTTGGAACCAGCATAATAAGCAATCAGTTTGCATGTAAATAAGCTAGAATCATTATACCAAAAAGTGATCCCAAAACAGAAAACCTAAGAAATCCCTGTGAAGTGGCATCTCCATTGCTGAATATGGCTGCTGTATGTTTGTACAGTGTAAATGATCACTTCCAGCCAAATGTACTGGCATAGGATAACATAACAAAGAATGCTGACATGGTATGCAATAAATACGACCAAACTGAAGGCTTACACATATGTGACGGTACCTTTTTATTCACATGTGCAGGTACAAAAGCAAGCTTTCCATTTCAAGAGCACTGCTGCTTAAACAACAGTCAGTGTCCTCTCGGTTGTGGGTAGTTGTAAGCACACGCAGACATGATATCTACAGGTACCGGTACATGCACATGTACATGTATGTGCAAATGAAGCATTGTATTGACAATTGCCATGCTTAATAATGGAATAATACACAGTTATGATTGCTTAACGGAACAAAAGCAAAAAGCATGTGCACATTACACATGATAGAGTGTGGCTGATGTTCGTACATGTACTTTGTATATGTACATGTACTTGCATGTACCTTTGAATTTCCCTTAAACTGAACTCTGCTTGCATGGTGGACCCTGTTCTATACACAGCCAATAAAGCCTTTTGTGAGTTAACTTTGACCCAAATCTGGTACACCAAGTTCTTTAAATTCATGTGAACATAACAACTTGAATTCTTCATACTAAAACCACTGTTGCTATACCTCGTGATTCAGGTTTGTGCTTAGTTACAAAAGATGCCTTGCAACAATACACTATTCTCAATGGATAAGAAGGCACAAAGGAACCAGTCCATTCCAGAGATGGTGGTCGCTGTGCAAAAGCTTTTCCCAAATCACGAGGTACAGCAACAGGGTCTTTAGTCTGGGGGATTCAAATCGTTATATTTACGTGCAATCAGATAACTTAGTGTATCAGATTTTATTTAAATTTAAATTACAATATGCAATATCCCTTCGTCTACCGGAATGTACATGTAAGTATCCAATGATGTACATGTCCATGTGTTTCCGTGGCATCATGTTGATGGGTGACGCATACATGTATATGTACTCGCAATGCTCTGACACAGCAGAGCACAACATGCCAATACAGATAGCTTCAAAATAGATATACCAGGATTTCACCCTAACATTTGCCACCCTACAACATGTACCGTACATGAAAGCATGGTCTTGTTCCACAGCACAAATAAGAAGCACAAACACAATCTACATACACATGTACAGTGTGGGCCCAGTACTTACACTTACATTTTAACAATGCAGTGTCCTTGAGCCTAAAAATGCAGTGAGTGTTCAGTCTGGTGTTGTGGTTTCAGTGTTTGGCTTGACCTCATGACTCCTCTGGCTTGGCATATCACCTATGCAATGCCTGCCAAGGGTAGCTACATGTACATGTACTGTACCATTGCCAGTACATGTAACTGAGCTAGCACTGTGCCCTGACACAGTGTTAGCATCATAGGCAATGGCATGGTACATGTATGTCAGCCTAAAGAATTTGGAAACTATGTACTTTGGCTGTTTTACTGATGCAATACTACTACATGTACATGTAGTAATAAAAGATCAGGATAGTTGACCACACTTGTCCACCTGCCTATCAGGCAGCATCCAGGCTGGAATCAACCAGAGGGTGTCAGGTGACTTCCGCCCAAAAGGAATTGTGGGGAACTGTCCTTGTTACAGTCTTGATGTAGGTTGACATGTGCACATGTACATGTACATGCACATCTACATGACAGTATCATAACGGACACACAGTTTGGATAATGGATGCCAGGCTAGCCTAGGACAAAAACCTCTAGCCCACAGTGCAAGGACCTGGGAGTAATGAACCCTTGTGTAGCCAAGCAACCCACTGATAGAGATAAATGTATGCACCAGCACTCCAATCAACCTGGGAAAGGTGTTGGCTTCATGCAAAGTCAACTAATGCATGCTTTTATCTCCAGGGGTTGTCAACTTTTTAGTCCTTTTCACGAGCGCACAAAATGTATGCTACAAAAAGACAGCTTATCAGCCCAAGTATGCTTTCATAAACTCAGAAAAAGGTTTATGGGCCATTGACCTTTTCTTGTGTACCCTTTCTTGAGGAAGGAGGGAAGGGTCAGAGGAAATAGTACATTTATTATGCTTCTAAAAAGGGAGACAAAAATGCATCCCCCCCCCCATAACAAGACATCCGCTGTGGGATCTGGTAATGAAATGACTGGGGTATCTGAACTACATGTACCGGTAGAAGCCTGCTGGCACAAAAAACTAGCTGAATTCATCCACTGCAGAAAATGGTAATTACTGCTTCATTTACAGGTGAACAAATGTCAATTTTACTGAATTTCAAAACAATATGTCACAATGCAGGTGAAAATAGATTGAATTAAAAAACAAGCATTTACAGAGAAGATAACTGCCCCATTTGATGTCAAAGCAGAAGATTTGTTGTGCTGTGATTTACATTTTCATTGGGGAAAAAAATCACTTGTCAGGTCTGTCAGTAAGACAAACGAAGTCATAAAGTTAATAAACTTTTCTCGCTAAAAATATGATTGGGTGCATTTTCCCCTTTTTTTTTCCTTGGGAGTGTAGGTCTAATGGCTCAGTAACCTTTGGACAGCACAATAGACAACCAACATGGTTCCAGCAGGCTGGACAGCTGACTCCTAGCCAAACTGGGTTATCACATTAATGATTAACCTAACCAAGGCTCAGAGACTGCAGCCATCAATGCAAAACCCGCCAAGGTTAATATTTTACATATAATCAAGGAGGATTCCATTGACATTTAAATGAGCCATCTGTGTGAGCAGGGCCAAGCACTTAAGCGGTTCCGCCCGACATTTGGAGGTAGGGGGCCACAGGCTGTGTGAGCATTTCAGCTGATATGTATGCGAAACGTGCACCCCGCTCCAGGAATTAAATGTGTACCATGCATTTTTGTTATTAAAGAGACTCTGCACTCTGTTAAATGCAGCTAGTTTAGAAAAATGAATCATGGTGTCTTTTACTTGGACAAATTGGACGGGAACATTAAAACCAATAACTGGTCCAGACAACTCGGTTGCAAAGCTATTGAACGGATCTTGTCACAGGTTTAAGTCTTACTTGGGCAGTACTCCAGCCAGGCTGATATGAGTCCCTGAGATAAGCTTGCAATATTGATTACTTGTGACACCCTGTGGGACATGTCTCAAGAAAAATTCAGCTCACCTCAAAAGGGCGGATGTCGTCCTTCTTCAAACAGAGCAAGTGTCTGTCCAGGAAGAATTCTAATGGATGGGAGTTACTGTTGGACAGGCCAACACGGTCAACTAGAATCTCGAAGTTCTGTACAGGGAAATAAAAAACCTAGTATTAATTTATTTTGTGTCAAATTCAAGCATAAATATATTACTTCAGGAAGCAAATACATGTAGGCCGTAAATCAGCTTAAACACACTACCCTTTGAAAGAAAACTCTTGAAATAAGTTGGTGTCAAACTGCAGTGTATGGTCCTTAGATGATCAATTGAAACTTGAGGTAAATGGACTGATCTAAATCCAATGTGGTGACTGATAACTAGTCTACATCATCCTACTTGTTTTTGAAATATTACTGGTTCTTTTCTGCAATTCCAAAGTCTACATGTATTTCTCTGAAGTAAAGTTACGTTGACATTTAAGGCAAACAAAGGAACTGAGAATGAAACATTTGGCCCTCTTACTTGGATTCAAGAGTGTTGGGCATGAGTTTGACTTGAGTCACATACATGTGTCAGACTCATACATACACTTGAAGTGGGAATTTGGAATTTTGGGAATTGTGCCTGCAAGTTAAAAGCGCTCAATTACAGTCCTGAAAGCAGACACATTCACAGATGAAGTGAGTAATCAATTACAAGTACATGTATGTGCCAGACTCAGAATTTTTTTCATCTCTCAAGTACAGAACCTGATTGCTAATTGGGGTAACAACAAACAAAGAGACCGCTGGGTACACTGCAGCCTCCACATTGGAGATACTGTAGGTGTAGCAAGGGCTTGAAATTTATCACCCAGGATCAGTGAGAACATGGGCAAACATTTGCACTCAAGCAGGGCTATCATAGGACTATGCTGGTCAGCACTGGTTGTGTGCAGCCAGCACTCAAGCTGGCCGATCAGCACTGGCAGTAAATTTCCACAATCCGACCAGCACAAAAATCAAAGAGTTTATGTATAAAATTTGATGTGATTGGTGGAAATTACACGTAGAAACATAAAACACAAATTCAGTCAATTTTCTGTTGCATAAACATTGTAAAACATTTTAGCACAAACAGCACTGGAGCACAGCTGCGTAGCATATATACAGGCATTCATGCACAGGTACATACCGTACATGTACAGTACATGTACATGTACAGTACCTGTACATTCAGTGTGGAGCAAGCCTCACATGTAAACAGCATCCGCGGACCATCCAGTCATTAATTAAATTAATATCAGTACTCATACAATGTATATGTGTCAGAGGGACTCAATGCAGCTGTTTTTGTGTCAGCAAAAGTAGTCACTAACAAGCTCCACTATAATTGTTGGCAGCAGACATTTCACCGTAAATTTGCGGCTTGAAATAAGGTACCGGTAAGTAAATTTTCTCTTTTACTGATAGAGGGCTTTGTGGCAACTGGTGTGGGCCACACAAATTTTGTGTCATGTATTCTCGTGTGGTTTTGTATCATTTTGTACGAGCTCTCAAACAATTTTTGGACATAAACTCATCAAAATATCAGTGCAACACAAATGTGCAATTGTCCAAAGAGGCTCTGACTTGGAGACAGTCTTCGAAAAGACCGATCCTCAAGTTGCAAATGCGCAGAAATGGTCATAAATGGAATACACCATGGATGGGCGGACAGGCCATGCAGTCTGAGCCCGGAAAATCCAAAATCCAGAACACGTGAATGAAATTTTGTAAAGGTGGGCAGATCAGGTGGGAAAAGTGCCAACTCACTCTACAAACCTTGATATTTACAATTTTGGTATACATGTACCTATTAATAGTTTATTTTAACCTTCTGAAATTTCACACAAATGTGAGGAAAAAGTAAAATTTAAAATGTGCCTTGCCTAAACTGCAAGGGAAAAAACACCAATGGTTACACCAGAAGGCTGTAAAATGTACCACAAAACATCTACATAGGCCTACCAAGACAGCTTGATGTGAGCAGCTACCACACTAGGCCTAATCCTTTTTTCTTGCATTAATTTTCTTATTGCTTGCATTAAATATGGTACAGGTAGGCAAGATTTTCCCATGAAGAAAGGAATAACATATCATAAAAAGTAATTGTAAGCCAGGGTCAAAGGTGTAAGGTGATCTGAAATGGATATCTTTTAAGTATGCACAGATGCGCATGTACAAATGTACATTAGGTACACATACATGTACATACACAGTTGCCTTACGAGTGCATACAACCAGCATCCAGTGCACAAACAGCCGACACTAAAAAAATCCTAGCTACAACCCTGCACTCAAGGCTAGCCAGACAGACCCCCTGGGTATGGCATGAGAGCTAAAGGTCACATGAGAGAGAAGATAATTAAAATATCACGCCTTACACCTGCAACTTTTTGAAAATCTGGTAACCTGGTATGGGTACCCACACCACACACCTCACTTTAAAAGAAACAAATGATAAATGATTCACCTAAATGTATTCCAAACACAATCAAAAATGTAGTTCAAACACACCTTTGATCAAGTGTAAGTTAAGTTATACTTCACAGAATTTTGTATTTACTGTGTGCAGGCGAATCTTGAATGACTGAACAACCTCCACACTGCAAACTGAACTTCAATAATCTTTTCTACAGGTACATCACTTTATCATATCAAAGCAAACAAATATTACATGAGCATGTTCAGGACAAAATGTGCAACAACAGAAAATTTTAAGAAACTTAACTAGTATGTTGAAGTCCATCCCTTACGGAGATAGAGGAATCGACATTCACATAGTGAGCTTTAAATGACTATTATGAAACTTTTGAGATTGATTTAAACATTCACAATTTATCACCTAGATTGAGACCAATCAGAAGCATCCTGTTTAACAAAACAGAAACAACTGGAAGTAATCAACCAATCGAAGCTTTCGGGTTTCTGGTAAAGAGCAGCTGCAAATGTCCATGCGTATCAGACATTTGTTCAAAGTGGGCTTCAGAACATTAAGAGACCCTCTCCATTATTGAATTCTGTACAGCAATTGGTTCATCGTATTTGGCTTACAGATAAAGCCCCTTTAAACATATTTCAAGAATTTTCAAACTTGCCATGTTTATCAGAGGCAGAATTTCACATCTTTATCAACAAATACAGTGACCTCCAGCTAAATTGGCATTCTTGGGACCCAAAAAATGTGACAACTTATGCGAAGGTCGACTTCTACTGTAAGTTGTCATTTTGCCGACTTACAATGTACATGACTTGATGACTTATGCATATGTATGTAAATGTACATGTATTTGATTGGGTTGCAATGGTCAAAATATCTTGTCCAAGCATGGAGGAAGGAATAGACACAATGAAAACTACATGGTTTGCAATGCTCCAAAGTTTTGACATGGGATTGGATTTTTGTGAAGCGCAGCGGCCCATCAGACCGAGTGTGAATGGGGTACACATGTACTAGCATATGCTGAATTCGCCCAGCGACATCCCAACCAAAAATCACGCTCTACTGGACTGCTGAAAACATATGCACTATATTTCAACATGTGTGAAAGTGGAAAATATCTACCCATAAACGGGAATATACTGGTAGTTCCATGAACTAACTCACTGGCTAAAGTAGGCCTATTTCGGAAGTTTTGATCGCTTCATATTTTTTGGAGAGTCAGAGTTTGGAAATGCACTTCGAGTTGTGGCAGGGGTCACTGGTTCCCGGCCATTCCATGCCGTTCTTGCTGTTTTTGGCGGTAGGAACCCGTGTGCCATACATCGAGTCTCATGCGCTGCCACCATGCTGCACTCTCAACGGGACTTAATTGCAACGTACATTGTGACATCTCATGCTTGGGCCATGGGAAAGCAGAAATTGTCAATCTTGACTCTGCATACCCTCATATTATATGCACATATTTTTGGAGAAAAATTCATACGATTTTTGATGGCACGTACAGGTGTACATGATATCCTTTAAATGTACACGTGCTGGCAGGGAAAGGTCTCAGATCTGTTCATGACAGCAGCAGCACACAACGTTGCACTGGGTCGCGTTCTTACTGTGGAACACTACATGAACACCGATATACCGATCATGGACCGTGCCAACAAACAGACGTCACCGTGTGACTTTTCATGGACACTTCTTGCCATCTGCAGCACAAAAGTCAATGCCAATGCGGGATTTTTTTATCAGCCAACTTACACAAAGGACTTTGTTGTATTTTTTGTGGAAATGGGACCGTGAGTGACACGCTGACTTATGCGAAATGATGACTTGTAAAAGCCCACTTAGAAATAAAAATTTTAATGGAAATGCATTAGCGACAATCGGGACTTTCATACGACTGCCAACGTAAATGATTTGCTGAGTTGTACGGTGTCAACTTAGCTGGAGTTTACTGTACATTACATGAGGTCAAATGGCTAAACAATCATTGCCCATTTTCAGGACAATTTTAACTTTTTTTGCCACAAACCCAAACAAGTTAAGCAGGTGTCAATTTCTTGAAAACCCATTCGAAAGGACAATTCAGTCACATAAACAAAGATTATGAATAGCAAAATCCTATCAAGTCGACCCACAAATATCACCTACCAGTGTCAGACACCCCTGGAACCAAAATCCCTCTTCCCCTCCTTATCCTGTAAATTTTAAATTAAAAGGGAAACTAGGAGGGGAGAATGACTCAGAACTGGTGCCTTGCCCTCATTGGGAGTAGTTGTACCCCTCACTTATCACTACCAGGTACCCATCCTGTAAAATGGTTTCACCAGTCAAGGTCACAAGCTGGGCTTAATCAATCAACGCAACCCTGTAGAAAGGAAAGCAGCTTTCATTTTCAAATAAACTTGCTCTCTTTGCACAAGGGGGTGGGGATATGTCTGGGTTGCTTTTCCAGAGTGTTGACTAGCTGTGCCCTTGAAGTTGAAGGATGAAGCATTTAATACATGTGGAAGTGAAAGATTACTTCTAAAACCATACAGCCTGCAAACATCAAGAGCTGGTCATTCTTGTGTGTTCAAATAGTGTTGAAGGTAAAAATTGATATAAAACTGAGAGTTACTCAGTACCTACTATGCAGTTAACATCCTTGGTGTGCTTTGATGGCATTCTGTAGTAATGAGCAACTTGGAACCTACATGTACATGTACTTGTAAGGTAACCTCAACCCAAGCTTTGCGTCAAAAATCTAGCTAGACTGGATTATTTAAATTAAGCTGCTCATATGTCTTCCTTTTTGTTTACCTTTCAGGAGAAATTTTATCTCTTACAATGTAATGCCCTAGTCAAGAATCTATGCTGCATCCAGTTATAAACGATGCATTTTTAAAATGAACAAGATTTTATGAAAGATTCGTGGGCACTGCCTTACATAAATTGTACATTTTCAAACAAATATCAGCTCCTTTTCCATGAAGGACATTTGTTAGTCTTTCCTCAAACTTTGAATAAAATACATGCCAATCTAATTTGAGCTGTATCAATCATGAAAGTAAGACTTGTAACAGAAGCAATCCCATGAGAAAAATAAAACCTCAACCGCACTGCCTATGCCCTTTAACATCATTCCAAATACTGGGACTTGTTATTCTCTGGACTATAATGAAACTGCAAGCAAGCCACAAACAAGCCTGAAATCAGCAATTTCCCACAAACAGTGACCCTTTAACCTTTCCCACTAGCACAAAAAGTGCTTACTCAAGCTGCAGGGTGGCTGTGCACTTTTTTCTGATGTGTAGGCAGAGGAGTCTGGGAGCCAGATCCCAGGGGAAATGATACAAAAGGGTGTCCCAGTGCATAACTCAAGTTACATTACAGGCAAGCCAAATTACTCTGTCATATGCCAGTAGGGGAAAAATACTTAACATTTGATACTTGCATTAAAAACATTAGCCGCTACACATGTACACTCCATTTTGCTGGGTGATTGCTTATATTGTGAATTTTAAGCAGTGTACATGTAGGATGCCCTTCAAGTCCACAAGCAAGTTTTATTTCAGAGCCTTTAGTGAGAGAAGAGAGACTCGAAACATACACTCTATCACAAACCATACAGTCTTTTTGTGAATAGAATCTTCAAGCATTGTGATAATGATAAACTGTCCGCCAGTTACTGCATTAGAGAAAATAATTGGAGAGAGATATTTTATGACCAGAGACAAAATGTGCTTGACGTAATTCACCTTTGAAAGGAGATTAAAAAGAAGCACATGCATAATGACTCCCACATCAGGCCATAAACAAGTCCATTTCAATGGCAACTGCTGTGGAAGGGGAAAAACATTGCAGACTGACAGCAAGCCTGGGCTGTGACAGGTCCTCTGTCACTGTGACATTTACACTGCTTGTCAGGTTGTGTGTCATGAACTGTTAAAAAGCACAGAGATGGAAGATACAGTGCAGCCTTATGAAGGGTCATCTTAAATCAGCCTCTGAGTAAATGATTTCATCTGCAAGGACAGTCACACACATTGGAAGCCATGTGCTGGCGCAGGATTATCTGACCAACAACTTCTCTGACCAGGGCGCAGACAACTAATTCAAGTGAGAGTTTCTGGCCAGCTGATTAGAATTAAAAATGCCCCCACAGTATCTTTTGAAAAAGGAGATTGTTTGGCCCCCAAAATGGTGAGATTGTGTAAATCCTTGCCAGGATCAACTCCCTGGGTCTTTGAGCTTTCATATGAAAGCAGAATGGCTAAAAACTACGATTGAAAAATGGTTCTAAGTGCCCGAGAAAGTTGAGGTTTGCCACTTGAAAAATGGCTGCAATCAGACTTCGGAAAAATCTTTTTTTTTTGGGGGGGGGGTGATTTTGGTTTGTGGGAATAATTAAAAATGTAATGGGTTAACCCACAAAAAATTGAAAAGAAATTGAAAGACAAGACTAGTGACCAGACAAGAATTTCATTTGTGTTTCAGAAATCTCAGAGATGTTGGCATACATGTTATTGGGCCCTGAACAGTGCTAACTTTACACTGTTTTCAATGGGGCTTGAATTAGTGGACTGTACCCACCAGCAACTTCTCCCGACTATGTAATTTTCAAATGGATGTCATGATGTGAAGACTTAAATTTGCATAACTGTAATAGCCTTTGGATGCTAATGTACATGCACCTAAAAGGCTAAACTGACTTCAGATGTCCCTCTTGTGTCTTCAATTTATTTCACATCTTTTGTTCCTTAAAACACACATCTGAAGCCAATGCTGACATGGAAACCTCCCCAATATGCTCAACATTTTGAGCCATCACTAAGAAAATCCGAATAAAAATGATCAGAATCCTCCAAATTTGCCAGCATTAAAAATGCTAATCTGAATCTAGGACACATGACAAAATGCCTACATGTATCACACCACATTTGTCAGCTTCAGCTCTATCCACCTTGTCAGGAAACAAACAAGCTGCTCTGAATCCCATAAATATTTCAGCCAATTTGGATGGCTGTGCTATTAGGTGAACAGACTGGCCTTATCGAATCACGACCCCCTCCCACATGGCACTTGACCCACTTGATCATTTGATGGAACATCCACATGAACATGTAGGGGGGGCTGTTTAATACTGTGGCCAAACAGCACCCAGTCTACATGTACATCTGAATATAATGTATACATGTGTACACATGTACATGTACATTTAGTGTGCCCCATGCTGCTTCCATCTTTTGAGCCCCATTCAAATCCAGGTGAATAAATGCATCAATCATGGGTGAAATCAGACTCTCTCCGGCACTGAAGCCAGTGAGAGAAGGGACATGGCTAGCTATTGTCTGTCAAGGGGCCAGGAAGGAGAGTGAATGTGGGAGACTACTGGATAGAGCTCCATTCTCATAATGATTAGAATCCAACAAGCTACTGACAAGCTGGGCAACAGGGATCAGCTAGGCATGGTGGGATCTCCATCCCTCAGTGAATTAATTTCCACATGCAGAAGAAATGGGTCAGAGTTCAAAAGGTGGTTGGAAGGGCTGACAACAGGTTCAGGTACAGAGAGCTTATCTTTAATTCACAGTAAATCTTCCTCAATGCAACACGTTGCTGGAACACTTTGATTACTCTTATGAAATCTACATGGAAAGACAAAAACAAGAGGTTTGCAGGGACAACATCTTTTGGAGGAGATCCCATCAAAGCAGGCCTTTATTATTTTCCTGTGGTGTCAATGATCTTTCATTTCCTTGTATTAAATTTTTAATGCTCCTGCTTTCACTGGAATACAAAGACTCTTTCTGAGGACTTTCAAATCACATGTATAATATAAATTGACATAAATTGGCTGCTTATCCATGCCTCAAATGTCAGAGTAAAACACACTCCTCACTTCATTTGCCAAATCATGTGATGTCCCTATGAGAAAGTTCAGTTTTCCAACAGCGCATGCCCAAAATGAAGCACGTCCAAAGCCACTCGGATGTGTGTCTGAGATCTGCCCTATTAGTGTGGACTCAAAGGCATATTTTGTTCCTGGATAACCTTGCTTTTTTGAAATACCAAACAGGCTCATTATCCTTATGTTTATAATTCAATATCAATTAATTTTACAACAAAGGCATACTGACTCTCAGATTTACCAGTAAGTGCAAACGTAACTCTGTCTTTGCTCATTAATCTTTGACCCTGTTTCCTATTTTGTTCTCAGTGTGGTCCTCTAGAGTTTTGTCTGCCAAGTTGTTCAGTGTCTGTGAACATTTGCATTGATCAAGTCTCAACTTTAGTACATGTACAAACCGGTTGAATCTGTGCAAATTGGCTAAGCAGACCCAAGTGGGTTGTATGGATGGCCCGTCTAGAATTGCCAGGAGGGAAACTTCCCCTCTTGTGGCCAAAGTTTACTGGGTCAATTTCACCCACTTGTCCTCGTTAGCTGGGTGATATTTCACCTGCAGGTAAGACATATCTGGGATATGCAATTAGCCCCAGTTTGAATGTGGTGAGGTGCATGCAAGCAGAGTGGACTGGAGTGTAGCAGGTCAAAGTGAATGATTTGTGAGGTCAGCCAGCCAGATTCAATTATTATTCTGTTTAATCCTTACTTTCCCAGGTGGATGCAGTTCTAAGCTTTTTCTTTTTTAATTACTTTTTATGAGGTTGTGGATGCCATTCTTGCACATATGAACGTTCAAGGTCATCTAAAATAATTCCAGAATGAATTCCCAAATTGGATATTCAGGAAAAAGCCCTTTGCACTAGGTGAGAATGAAAATGCATGGATGCTTCTGTGTAACTGGCAGTGCATCTGTCATACATGTACAGCAGATAGGGAGTTGTTCTGACGGTTCTAAAACTGTTCATGACTCACAGTACAAAAACAAGCGGCTTGGACATGTGCAGTTTCAGCTCAGCAAAGGGGGCAGGAGGGCAAGCGCTTCCCCCCTACTTTTTGCTCAGGAAACTTTCACTCTTGTTTAAAGGTGTGCACAAGGAAAAAGGGTGAGAGGGGAGACTTTTAAATTATCCAAGCTTCCTTTCTGTCCCTTGCCATTGATACAAAAAATAAATTATTTTTACACGGGAGGATTTTTTTACTCACCAGGGCTGGCCAGAGGATGTTGCTGGGGCGAGAGCTATACGGGTCAATGCGCTGTCCCCACACTATGGTCTTCTCTACCAGAAACACCTGATGGGCCTCATCCTGAACACGTAACCACTCACGCTTTTGCCAGTCTAGACCATCAAACTCCACATACACCTGTGAAGGAGATGACAGAGACAAGGAAGGGGGTATTATTAGACTAGACTCAAATAAGCATTAACCAAAGCAGGAAAAAACCTTCATCCTTGGCCGTGGGGAGTCTAGCTCCCTCACTCCAGTTGGGTTGTTCATGGAGATATCAAACTGCCCATGAGGGAAAGGTTCTCTTGACGCAGTTTCTAAATCCATCCCTTCCAAAATCTCTACATGCTAGTTTTGCACACAACATAAAACAAGGTTGAGGTCACTGGTTATGACCTTGACCATGCCAGTCCACAAATATCACAATCAAACCAACAGGTGCACCAACACCTTCAAGTATGTATAAGATTTTAAACGTGAATCAAATCTCCAGTAGAACGGGAAGGACCCAAAAACTTCATATTCCCCAGACACCTCTGTATGCGGTAACCTGTAATCCCACACTAAGCCAAACCCATCATTTCTTTCCTTGGACTAGCAACTTGGACCTCGCAGAAAAAAATATATATAAAACCCCTCGCTGGCACAATTTGGCCCAACATAGAGCCTGTGCAGGCAACAAGCCCCGCAGACCTTTCTTTACTCTTAGGTAAGTCGGTGCTAAGTTCAAGGATTTGTTTTTCTTCTTGTGGGGCTTGGATTGCTTGGCTGCACAATGGCAGGCTTTGTGTTGGCAGGGTCACCGCCATAGGTCACACTGCCTGTTGGCTGGGTGATGGGCTGGGCAAGTGGACTGGCTGCTCTCCTGTTTTGACTTGGGGGATCCGCTCAACAATTCTCAGATTTGTTTTTCTGTTGTGTCTTTTTTTCTGAGTGAGGAACCACACACACACAGGCAACTGATAAACTATACAAAGGGAGATGGGGGCTTAAGTATTTGTTCATTAAATTTTGAGAAGTGGCAATGTATTAAAATATAACGATTCCACTCATATTGTTTTACTAATATGTTTTTTTACATGTTTTTGATAAATGTCCATTTTTAGACTCAAATTATATATAAAATGAACACCAATCATAACTTCACTTCGAACAGTAAAAATTCACTACTTTGAAATACACTATGCTAACCTTAAACTACACTCACTATACTTCAGGCCTATTGAGCAAACCCTAAAACATATTTACATCCCCAGATGAAATTTACGTGAAAGTGCTCAACAGGGTAGGACATGTACATGTTGCAAGTCTCGTCAAAATGAAGCTCAGAAAAAACAAAGCATCCAAAACTGAGGGATGAGGGAATTCTGTTTCCAATGCCTTTCACATGACAGCAGAAAACTCATACCGGTACATGTCGGTCTGACTCTCAGGCACTGCTTTTATTGCAACCCTGTTTATAAATGCACCGTTCAGTCAGCAAGAGTCCCTTTTTTTCCTTCCCTTCTCCCCTTTTTTCCCTGCTCTCTCTTCACACGCACGAAAGGCCCATTGAATCTGGATCAATTATGCTGGACTCCCCCATTCAGGGCACAAAATGGCTCCACTTACGGCTCGCAGCCGCTGCCAACGTGCTGAATTGCCTGAACTTTGCATGTTTGTCTATTTGTGGCTAATCCGGAACAACAACTATTATGAGGGAAATTAAACTAGTGGCTAACATGCCTCCCAGTGCAAAAACACCCACTTCAATGCAAGCCTGTTTAGACTAGAAATGGTGTGGACAGGGTACCATACATAATTTAACCCTAATGATTACAAGACCTTCTCTGTTGATTATGTTCATTCACAAAGAGGAGCAATCACAAACCAACTACAGATTAAAATAAAACCCAATGCAAAAAAATTGTTATAATACAAAAAGTAAATCAAGACCAGACATGTTCTGGCATAAAAACATTTGAAAAAAAAACCAATTACCAAATGACATGTAAACAGAAACATTACACTGACAACGATGTATTCTGGTTTTTTTTTTTTAAATTAATAGGTTTTTCTTGCTGCATGTGCCCGTACATCAGTTTTAGCAAATGATCAGAACACTTACCAATTAAGATATTGATTCAATGATTGTTAAGCTGCAAACAAGACGCAAACACACTTCATGCAGTACAGTTTCCTAGAGAGCTTTCTGCTGCTTTGCAGGATCATGGTTTTGAAAATACCAGGTATGCAGCCCACAATTTTTTGATGTTAAGCACCAGATCAGACCCCATTTCTGTAATCAAATCAATGGTATCAGCCAGCATACTGAAAAAGCATAATATGGACGCCTGGGCATTAGAGTAATTACTGCTCACCCCAGGTGACATCATATTTGATTGAAAATGAGACCTCATCTGGTTATCGTCTTCCCAAATGTATACTGAGTATGACTAGCCACAACCATCAAGCTCTGCTCTGGTGGTCAACTGGAAAGATCGGGATTGCCCAAGGCCGGCTAATCTATTTTGGGAAATACAATACTACATGTATGTGGAGATAGACTGAACAACCTGCGTATCTTTGCTGCCTTGGGATGACTCCCACACTGTCATCTTTTAGGGTATTAATAAAAACAAGTGTAAAATGCATTCTTAGCTTTCATCTTACAAATGTACACGTACAGTAAATACCATGGGATAAATCCCTCACTTCCTTAAACTTCCCTGGACAAGACACAACAGAATGGGGAGAAAAT